CCCGCGGAGCGCCTGACCATATATATGCTCCCTCGCCGAAGTTGACACATCGATTCTGCCCGTTCGGCCGATTCAGAGGACACGGACAGTGGAAAAGCAACCGACCACAATTTTCCCGCCCGTCCAGCTGACTAAGTCGCACGGCAGGGAATCTCGTCCGAACTGAAGAAGGGTTTGGGTGCAAGCTCCAAGGCTAACCACACTCCTCACGTCATAAAGCCCAACCCCAAGTGAAGCAACTGTTACAGAAAGGAGGAGTGCAGCCGCCAGCCTAATCAAGCCAAGCAAAAGGGACACATTACTAGCCCGAACATCCAGTACCTGGTCGTGTCCTCACATTGCTCAAGTCGCCAAGTATGTACAACCAGCCAGACCTGTCGCCGTTAAGCTTTCAAGCATCTAAGACAAATTTGACCACAATGGGGGTCAGGCTCAGTAAACAGTTGGTGTGGCACTTTTCCTTTAGCGACTGAAAAGGTGTGCCAGTTTCGACTCTCACACTCACACTCGCACGCAGCAGGCAAGGCTAAAAGGTTCCAGTTTAGCAGTTGAGCATGCACTGTTTCTGCCCCTGCGACGGAATGTTCGTCAGCATACTGGTGCTCCGGGTCCTGGTGGCTGCACAGGCTGATTCCGTCGATCACTCTACTTCCTGATTTCCTTTTGATGGTTCATTTCTTGTTTGCAATGATATTTCAATGGATGTGTTGGTCGGCATCATCGAGACGAACCAGTCGGTGACATGCCGTGACATGCCTGCTACCGGCATTTTGACATGGACGTTCATCAGCCAGTGCTCTCTGTTTTGCGATGAAGCTGCCTGATAGCAGCCCCAGTTGGCACTGTGACGGTGTCGGTCTGTGATTGCCCGCACATGCACGACGTGAAATACGAACAGCAGGAGCTCAAGAAAAACCTCGGACAGAAAAAACACGGGATTGCTTGACAAGCTTTTAAGCGGCCGCTGATCGATACCTCCACTGTGATCGCCAGGCCGGACAGTCTGTGACCAGGATGGTGGCTAGCGAGCCACCTCACCCTGCACTCTACACCGAGAGACCGATTCAGAAATGTCCTTCAACAGACATCGACGCTCGCCGACACATTGACACTGGGAAAGCCGATCACCGCACTGATACATCGACCGGGAGACTGTCGATGCCTGGGACACACCGAGTCCATGATTCTAACACAACCAGTCTTCTAATACTTCGATGTCGTCAACACAATAGTGGAACAATGACGCACGGATATGCAGATATGCATGCATGCCTACGGCACATACGTACACGCGCGTCTGCATGTGTATGTGTGTCTGTCTGTCTGTCTGTTGGGTACTCCCTGCCTGGTGCCAGTAGGTATGCGGGATGAACAGTGTATCCCCGGGTCCCATGTCACCATGCAGCCAGGTAATGTTGGCAAACCGTGGGAAGTTTTCCAGGTCCACGGCATCCTCCCCACCGACTTCTGACGAAGACTACTGCCCGGCTCCGTTGCACAGCTCACAAGTGTCCTGGCGAACTGGGGACGTCCCTCGCACCTGGAGGCAAACGAAGGAACCGACAGCGATGCTACAGATGCTACAGTTACAGGCAGTGGTTCCACTTGTGGCATGACGCATTCGCGTGGGGCCTTGGCCACATGAGCGTACATGTTAGGAGCTTCATCCTGGTGAACGAGCATGACCTTCGCACGGCCGCGTCTCTGCCACAGCCCAAAGAGGAACACACAGGAACACTTCTCGTGGGACCAGATAGGCCCGGCGGCACTCTTGTAGCCGTCCAGCAGCATGAGAAAGTTCTCGCCGTCGTCATTGTGCAGAACCTTAGACTTACAGTCTGTCTCAACGCTGAAGAATTCCTCCAAGGAGCAGAATGCCCTGGGAGCCATGCCGACATAGTGCCGCCGCTGCTCATCCAAAGCGTGACGGACTGAGGCCACACCTGTAACAGGGTTGAGACGGGGTCAGATACACTATCGCAGCGTCCTTTGCTCCGGACCCTCTCCCAAAACGGTTCCCCCGACATTCAGAAACCACATTGCAGCTGCAAATGTGTTGTCCGATCAATTCAACATGATGCACCATTCGACTGCTGCTGTAAACAACAAGACAAGAAGCAATTTTAGCTCTCCGTCATCTGACTCCCACTAACCCGAAGCCCAGAAGCTTGCACTCAGTAGCTCCAGCATTCCCTGAATGGTCCACGAGCAAGATTTCAATATATTATCTCAATATGGCTTCCACCCCATTATCGCGTTGATGCCCCCGCGCCTCTTTGCATCTGGCCGGCTCTGGCAGGTCCAGATCCGCCAGTGCTTCGTCATCCTCTAAGCCGATCACCGCCTTAGGAAGAGAATTCAACCGGCGACAGCTGCCGCGGTACAGACTTGAGCAACACTTGAAGCTGCAGCTGCCTGCTGCCTAAGGGGCATAGAGCTGGTCTTCTCGATCTGCCTTCACAGCAAAGCAAAAACATTGGCGTTCTGACGCTTTCCGAGTCGTTGCGTGCATAACGACCTCAGCAATGCACCTCATATATCTCTTTGACGAACTTGTCGAAGGGCCACTGGACGGTTGGCCCACCTCGCTCCTCCACCTTGCGCGCACAGTGTCACCCACACACACACACACACACACACGCGCGCACACACATCTCGAAAGACTTGCGAAGAACTACGCGCAGCCTCTCCCAAAGTGCTCCCCGACGACCCGGAGCACAACATGTAACAAAGCTTTCCAAAGCAGCCTTTTTCATCTCAATGTCGATGACTTTGTCCTGCCCCCATAGATCGACAAGATAGTCATCCGTCCACTTGTCAAACGCCCTCCTGTGGCACAGGTCGTGCTAGCCGCTATCTACTTGCATGCCAAGCAAGCAGCATCACGTGTGCGCCGGGGAGCTGGGCTCGAGCAGCACTTCGAAGCACAACCGGACCTGAAAGCAGGGAGCGTAACAGAAAGCCGCGTCAGATGCTCAACATGATGATCCCAGGTAGATCAAAATGCGGCTGGCCCACGGTTTACTCGGACATAGTTTTGGTAGAAGGTTTGCCAGTCTGGAACCTCTGTGAGGACCTCGACGGGCTTCTTCAATCCCAGCTCCTGCCAGGAGGGCAACATGCTGCTTCATCCAACATCTGAGGTATCAGCTGTGCTCCACCTCTGGGCACCCTGCAAGTCCTGCATGGGTTTGCCATGACCGGGCAGGTCTGCACTCCCACCTCCATAATCAGTGGCTCCTCTGGCATGCTCGAGTGCTTGATACTGCCAGCATGCATTTCCAGTCTGGCCAGGATGTGGCGTTCCCGTGCTGGGGCCGGACATGAGACATCACGCAGCCGTCTCCTGCCACTACCTTTGCTGCCCCAACACCATTGCACAAAAACCACAACTTCCACCCCTGCTGGGTCAAAACTGGTCTCTGCATCCAGACACTGTTGCTGGCGGCGACTTGCCCTCGCGCAGCGGCAAAGCAACCTTGCGATATGCAAGCAAGGCTGGGGGCTTGCTACTTGCACAACGACTCACAAACACTGCTTGCACTTGGCCGCACGCCCCGAGCAGCACCACGATGCATCCAGGAGACATGGATCGTAACACTGCCGTGTATGTCATGCGAATGAGTTCTCGTTGCATGCTTCGCAAGCTGCTGGCAGGTGCTTACGCAATCGGGCTCATGCCAAAGCGCTGAAGCTAGCTTGCAATATTTGGCTTGCGCGCTGCTTGGGCAGGGTCCTAGCATCGCTGACGTTGTCACAATGCGTCTGCAAGCACGGAAACAAGAAAGCCTCTTCACGCCCAAAGCAAACGGTTCTCACGCAGTAAGCTTGCAGCGCGACATCGGTGAGGTGCCAAAGGGCTCCTGAAAAGGAGTTTTGCATCCCCGGCTCGGGAGGCCGCGAGTGACATCAAAGAAGAGTCCTGGTCTGCTTCCAGAGCTGGATTTGGATGCCTGGCACGGAAAAACCTTTTTGACCAAGAAAGTCTGTCAACTCAAAACATCCGACGCGTGCGATTGTCGGCACCACCTAATTACAGTAGACCCCATCCCCTTTCGGAACATGTCCGAAGCTCGCCGGCACCACCACAGGAACTGAACCACAGCAGACGAAACTTCACGGGGATGCCCAAACCTAGGTCATGACAGTACCATCATGTGACAACGGCATGGGGCTTTCCCGATGGTGTTCTAACCATATCGCTCAGTCTCACCGGAGTCTACCACTCTGAGCTCCACACTGTCCAACGCTACATTCCTACTCAAGTTCTGGTTTTATTCAAACCGAATTTCACACAAGCAGCCGACGATCAATCCAAATCATGAGCATAAGGCATACCTATCATGATCATGCCCGCATCGTCACAAAACAAGGGGACGATTGCACCTTGACCTGTTCCCCTTCGATTTGTAGCACTCTAGCTTTGCAAGTGGTGTCCTCACTGAAACTGATGTTACCATGTTCATGGTCAGTGCTATCGTTCTGCTTGAGATATCATATCCTGCCTTGGCCATCTGCAGCATGAGTGGCATCTGAAAGCTGAGTTTGCCGCTGGGATTGTGCATACAGCTCCGAGCTTGGTGCCTCGCGCCAGCAGCCCATGCATAGCTAAAACTTTATTGCCAACCTCTCCCTTGTTGTTCCTTAGACAACTGTCGCGAAGCCCGGGACTACACTGCAGCGCTTTCCTCACCTCGCGGTACACGGTGCCAACGTGATATCGACGGAGCTGCTGGGACATCGCCTTGACTAGATGGAGGAGTGCCACCGACCCTCAATGAAGCAAGCGCGAACCTAAACTGGTCATGATCACCAGGCCAAGCATCAGACAAACCACATCACTAACGACCGAAAGACTCCGTGCCATCTCCTACCAGGCTTCCGGCTGCCAAGGGCTCCGTGTCCTCCAGGCTTCTTGCAAAAATCACGAAGGAGTCATAACATTGAGTCGAGAACTTGGAAAGCTCTGTGCTGGAAGCATCTGGAAGCCCGCCTCGACACTGCCCTGAGCTCTCCTAAAGCCATGCAGCGCAGCCAAAGCCCGAATGAAGGGCTCGGTCCTCAGAAGCGCGGCAAAACTCGACATGTTCATGATCAAGTAACTCCTGTGGGTGTGGGACCATGCAGCATGACAAGGACCTGCAGGTGTGCAAACGCATGAACACCTGACAGCAACCACAAAATTATGACGATGGCACTCGTGAATACGTGATGATCCCTACCTTTAGTATGTTGCGTGGTGCGAAATGTCGGCATCGTTATTGCATGCCAATGGTCATGTTCCGCAGGGCTTCGTACTTACTAAAAGCATAGTGGGCATGTAACTGCATGTAGTTCTGCTGATGACGATGATGTCGAAGGGGAAGGCTGACGTAGGTCATAATGATGACGATGAGAATGCCGATTATCGTGATGGGCAGCCGGGTTTTGCCGACTAGCCGTACTCGGCACATCCCGGTCTATTCGGCATCGGCATTGTGATCATTCCCTGCCTACAACCATTGCAAATCAATTGCTACGAAGGCCTTTACGAATAACGATTGCTCGGAGAACAATTCTGTGGCTATGAACACTGACACGATGGCCACGGCACACAAGCGGCGACATTGAACAGAACATGATAAGAAAGAACACAGCATGATGACGCAGGAGCATGCCAAAGCTACATGATCTAATGATGCTCATGGCTATCACCATGTTTAGGGCTCGTACTGCGATTGCTGCTTGTGGCGGTGGTGGCCAGCAGAATCGTGACGTTGATAAGTGCATGGTCGACGTGAAAATCAGGCCGGGAAAATTGCAGCAGATGATGTTGCAATGATGATGACAACAATGATGGATGCAACGCTGATGCAGCTGATCATTGTGATGCAAGGCTGGGTATTTCTCTCCCGTTCGAGCGGTCGTGATTTGCCTGTGGTACATGTATAAGAAGTGCTACAATGTGCTACAGCAATGATGGAAAAGCTTTTTTTCGTCGTCATTACTGTCGTCCGGCAACTATGCAATTGTAGCAGCTGCTTTTGGTGCGAGACGATGCTAAATGTAATGATGATGGTGGTGACGAACACGCTGGCGAATAAACGTCATTACTGTGATGTAAGTTTGCGACTGGTGCCGCTCTCTTGCTTTGGGTTACTGTTTACACGATGACGCACATGAACTTTGTCACTGTCGGGCACTTCTTTCGGATCTTTCGTGGATGTTTCTAGCATTGCCTCCTTGCTCGTAGTACTAGCATGGCCGTGGCCAGCTGGATGCCATTCTGAGGGTGAGGACCACGAGACTGAAGATTGTGATCCATGACGCAGATGCTGATGATGAAGACGTAGTGGTAGTAGCAGTCGTGGCGAGTAGTTGCTGTAGTAGAAAGCAGCCATATGAATAACCATGGTGATTACTAGAAGGAGTTACCATTGAGTTGTCGCCGTTCCCATGATCAGCAACAAACAAAGTATCAATCTGTTGTTTCATCGTCGGTGCACAAGCTGTTGCAGCTGGGTGCAACCCATCACCCCAATCGGAGAAATGTGTGCGCAAGAAGGCGCCAAAACTGCCATGCTGCTGCTATTGCTGCGGCTGCAACTCCTGCTAGCGCGACTGCTGCTGCTACTGCTACTACTTCTTCTTGTTCTTCTACTACTACTACTACTACTGCTGCTGCTGCTGCTGCTGCTGTTCTTGCTGTTGCTGTTGAATTGTTGAACTGCTACTCTGCTACACCACGACGATGACGACCAACAACAACAACAACCACAACCA